TGATTATCACATTCCAAGTTACAGAACTTCTCTCAGGCATTTCGTCGAACACTTTGTAAGCATCAACTCTATTTCCGACAACAAGATACATTCCAACCAAAGCTGTCTGAACGTAGACATTAAACTCAAACCCCAATTTTAGCGTCAAACCATGAATTCCAATCCCTAGCATTGGATACAGGAACCGAGGATTCGAAGTTGCTTTGATGAGAAAGAGGTAAGTGAAGCTATCGAAAGGAGGAAGTCTCTTCTCGTGATCAGAGAAGAAGTGAAGCTGTTGGAGTTGGTCGTAGAGTAAGTAAGCACGAAGAGGAGTTTCGCCAAGAGAATAACATCGAAGCAGAGGATTGAAAAGGAGAAGCTTCCCAGAGTTTCGCTTCTGATGAATGAGAAGAAGACCAGCAGTGATGAAGTGAGAATGGAGCTGGTGGATGATTCTAGGATTTGATTCATTTTTGCCAAGAAGAGCTTGAAGCTGTTGAACCGAGAGGTTGGTGTAAGAACGCTTTAGGAGAGTGTAAGAGCGACAAGCGATGGGTCTACCTGAAGCAAACAAGAACATAACTGTCCAGAGATTCTGTTATTTTTTTTGGCTACTAACATCAGAGATTCTGTTATATTTAGGCCTGGGAAAAAAAAGACAGAACCAAAAAACCGAACCGGAATCAAAACGAAATATTCGAAAACCGAAACTCTCAATTACCCGATTGATTCCTATATTTCTATATTCGAATAACTGAATCTTAATCGAAACCGAACCGAGAATCGAACGGGTATCTGAAAATATTAATTGGAACTTTTTAATACAAAATAAATTAGCATCAACCTTACTCGAATTCAAGTTGGGTTGGACAGGAAGAGTGAAAACATTATTACCATTAAAACATGTTATCTTTTATTTATTCTCTTATATTTTATATATAATATTTTTATATTAAAAATAGAGTAAATATTTATAAAAATGACATTTTAGTGACTCGAATTCTTATTGCACTAATGAATATGCAACAATGTAAATACAAGACTGTTTAAATTAATATGTTAGCTAATGTATTTTATATACATATATATTAATTTACAAATTACACGGGTATTCAGAACCGAACCGAAACCTTTTAAGTATCTATTGTGTACATGAATAATTTATCCGATATATATTAAACCGAAAGGTTTCTACTTCTACCTTACCCGAAACCGAATTAAAACCGATATATAGGATTTTGGGCTAATTAACTCAAAATAAAAAGCATGCTTCACCTTTATGGCCCATTTAAGGATACTCTTTTTCGGCGGGAAGGATCCAACAAACATCTAAACCCGGATCCGACCCGACAGCACCACACGACTCGTCCTCCACGATCTCCATCTCCATTTTCACAGTTTCGACCAAAACAGAAGATCTCAGACGAACTAGAGAGAGATTAACGAAGATGTCTCTGAGGCCAAGCACACGCGCGGAGCTGAGGAAGAAGATATACAAGACAGGCGTTGACGCCGATGAAGCGAGGCGGAGGAGAGAAGACAATCTCGTCGAGATCAGAAAAAACAAACGTGAGGACAGTCTCCTCAAGAAACGACGCGAAGGTATGATGCTCCAGCAGCAGCAGCAGCCTATTGGAGCTGGTCTCGATGCTCTACAGAGCGCTGCCGCCGTTGAGAAACGAGTAAGTCGCTGATCTGAATCTGTAGTTTGAATTGGATTATTGGATTTGATTGGTTAGTGATGGATCTTTGTTTTGCGTATTGAAAGAGTGAGACTTTTGATTGTGTTTTTTTTTTTTTTTTAATTATAGATCTCTGATTTATGACAAAACATCTGATCATGTAGTAAACTTATTTACTGATTTTGTTAATGGATTGGATTGTTATACTTTTTTTGTTGCTGTGGAGACAGCTGTTTGATGTTGTTTATGTTCTGATTTGACAGTTAGAAGGTATTCCAATGATGGTGCAAGGTGTTTATTCTGATGATCCTCAAGCTCAGCTTGAAGCTACTACTCAATTTAGAAAATTGTTATCTATAGGTAGGTGTCTTTGTTTTTTCTTCCTTTCAAACCATTCTCGGGGTATATATGTGTGGTATAGATATTTGATGGTTGTTTTGTAATTTGATGAGCAGAGCGCAGTCCTCCTATAGATGAAGTGATCAAAGCTGGTGTTATCCCACGTTTTGTGGAGTTTCTTGGAAGGCAAGACCATCCACAACTTCAGGTATGTCTTATGATTTCTACATTTTAGATTTAGATTTGACCCTTATTAATTACACCTTAGAGATTTTAAGAATTGTCTGGTGGCTTACTTTTAAGTATTTTTTTCTTTCAGTTTGAGGCTGCATGGGCTTTGACCAACGTTGCGTCAGGAACATCAGATCATACTCGGGTTGTGATTGAACATGGGGCGGTACCTATCTTCGTCGAGCTTCTTAGCTCTGCTAGTGATGATGTTCGAGAGCAGGTTTGTCACTTTCTAGCTGTAGATAATTGTAGCTCTCATTGCACTTCCATTTTATAATATGACCAGGATATTGTATATTTTTTATTATGAACTTATAGTCAGCCAAGTGCTTTTCTGTAGTTTTAGGTGCTAAAACGTTAATGTTTTCTTACAAACTTTTATATATTTATCTGTTCTAGGCGGTGTGGGCCTTGGGGAATGTTGCTGGAGACTCGCCAAACTGCAGGAATCTTGTTCTCAGCTGTGGTGCTCTTATACCATTGCTGTCTCAGTTAAACGAAAATTCAAAGTTATCCATGCTAAGGAATGCTACATGGACCTTGTCCAACTTTTGTCGTGGGAAACCACCAACACCATTTGAAGAGGTAGGACTGGCGAAATGGATTCTCTTGTGCAATTTGATCTGTCTGGACAACTTATGTTACAGGTCAAGATCTTTAATTACATATACTTGGCTGTGTTTCTCACATTATGTTTGATATTCATATGTTCCAGGTGAAGCCTGCCCTGCCAGTTCTTCGGCAACTTATCTATCTGAATGATGAAGAAGTTCTTACAGATGCCTGCTGGGCTCTCTCCTACCTTTCAGATGGCCCTAATGATAAGATTCAGGCTGTTATTCAGGCAGGTGTTTGTCCACGTCTTGTGGAGCTTCTGAGGTAGTTCCTTTTTGCCTCGCCAATAGCTACCTTGACAACATAATTTTTGATAATTCCTCCTCATCTTGTAGTTTCTCTAGTTTTTTTTCCTTCGGATTCTTATTGCTGTATTAGTTGGTCTTTTCAGCAATTGTATTTACATCTTCAAATTTGTGAAAATTGAGTGTTGTTTCAGTCCTTTGAATTCTTGTTTTTTTCTTCTTCTGCGTACTAACTTATTTATATTTCTTGAAGTCATCCATCACCGACGGTTCTCATTCCTGCACTTCGAACTGTTGGGAACATTGTAACTGGTGATGACTCTCAGACACAGGTACGCTCTGTGAAGTATGTTTCTATATAATGTTTTTGTTGTTTTGTTTAACATTTCTGACTGCAACTGTAATTTTGCTTTTCAGTTTATAATCGATAGTGGTGTGCTTCCTCACCTTTATAATTTGCTTACGCAAAATCACAAGAAGAGTATAAAAAAAGAAGCTTGTTGGACTATCTCAAATATCACTGCTGGGAACCAAGCTCAGATAGAGGTATAAGTTTTTTTCTGCTTCAATTAATCAAGAATACAGTTTTGGTGGAAATAGTAATGCTATTGCTATTTCATTTCCGATTCATTAAGAAGTTATATTGAATATGTTCAAGTTGTGTTTGCTCTTCGATAGTTTAAAAGCAACCCATTTAACTACTTTCTAGCGGACGAGGGGACATGATTTTAATTGTAGTTTGCTAGTTTCATATGCCAACAATGCCTGTTACCGATAATATTGAGAGCATCAGAGTTTTAGAGCTTGAAGATAATTTTTATTCATTTTATATTGTCCAAACATTAGGCTGTGGTTGGTGCTGGATTAGTCCTTCCTCTTGTGCACTTGCTCCAGAATGCGGAGTTCGATATTAAGAAGGAAGCTGCATGGGCCATTTCCAATGCCACATCAGGAGGCTCTCACGAGCAGATTCAGTAAGTCATCTCTAATTTTTAGCATTTGCTAAGAACCAACTTACACTTACCTGTCTTATACCATATCTATTGCAATATCGAAATATGCTAAAACAGAGTTTTGCATGCAGATATTTGGTGAACCAAGGCTGCATCAAACCGCTATGTGATCTACTAATCTGCCCTGATCCAAGGATTGTGACAGTGTGCCTTGAAGGGCTTGAAAACATTCTCAAGATTGGTGAAGCTGACAAGGAGATGGGATTAAACGGTGGGGTTAATCTCTATGCTCAGATAGTAGAAGAATGTGATGGATTGGACAAAATCGAAAACCTTCAATCTCATGACAACAACGAGATATATGAGAAGGCCGTAAAGATCCTGGAGAGATATTGGGCTGAAGAAGATGAAGAGCCGATTGTGCCAGACGGTGTGAGCGAGAATCCACAACAGGGCTTCAGTTTCGGGAATAACCAGGCAGCTGCTCCACCTGGTGGATTTAAATTTGGCTAAAAAGGTATAGAACATGAGATTCAACGTTTTGCAACTGTTATTGACATTGGCAGGTTCAAGTTTGAGGTTTTGAGTACTGCTTCAAAAAAGGCTTTTCTGTTTCTTATTCGTTTGAATCATTCTGAGTTTGTATCTTAAATATCTTAAAACTCTTGGGATAAATCATGTCTAGTGTGGTTACTGGTTTAGGATATGATCAGTTTGTGTTTGTCACTTCTATCTTTGTTGTTATTATTGTTTTAAAAACATTTACTCGTCAGAGTACAAATACAAAGAAATTATTTGATTGTCTGGTTGGAGTAAAGTCTTCAAACGAATTGGTTAAGGAAAGTTTCAATCTCATCAATATAAGGAGACTTTGTACGAATAATGTGACCAAAATCATGCTTTATTATGGTTGCGCAACCTTCATCAAACAACCCCGCCAAATCTGAGCTGGCTTGAGTCACAATCTGACCCTGCAAGTCACATCACAATGCCATAGTTCTGTCAAAATGTTATAAAGGTTACGGAGGCAAAGTTTGGTTAAATAGATAGATTCAAACCATCAGACGCATAAGGGTTTTGTTTTACTTGTGTGGAAGATGGAACCAGGAAGTCATTTGCTAGACGCACATAAACGCAAACGTGAGTGGGTTAACAGAATCCAGTTAAACCGAATTGCTTAAACCGGAATATGAATATAAAATCAGTATCCAATCAAACCGAATTTCTTTTCTAAGTCAAACACCATCAACTGATCTTTTGTAAGTACACAACATTGCTCATCAAACTTGTTAATGCCATGAGAGACATTGAAAGCAAAAGACATAGCTAAACGAAAACAGATAGATATGACTTCAACTGATCTTTTAAAGCTCTATAAAAACTCAATTGCTGTTATGCCATGTCACTCATCAGTTTTGTCCCTTCTTCTGTTTGGTCTCTGCAACTAGAGGCTTAATCACGAGTTTAGGCTTTGTGATGACTAGCCTATCTGGGAGCACTGAAACAGCAGCTACATAGGAGCCATTTGGTATTCTAGAGAGCGGTAAGAGTTCCACCAGAACACATAACTGCACATTGTTTACACCAATCTTCAGTACTTTATAATGTAACATAGATTAAGAGTTCTTGTCTATATGTAAAATACCTCTGGAGATTTGAGATCCACAACTGAGTCAGGTACAATAGCTTTCACTCCGGCCGCAACAGTTTCAAAGCATTTAGTGCGGTCCAGCAAAGGACATTGATCTAGAACCTCTGATGCTTTCTGAATCTTTCCTTTTGTCTCCTCCACACCTCTTCGGTTATACCCAGCTGCAAACTGTGTAAGATTAAGAACCATTGCCATAAAGTCTAACAATATCCTCACCTTTGAAACACGATTATGCAAACAAAATGTGTTTTTTTTTTTTACCTTCACGGGTTTTGAAAGTGTATTTTGATTATCATCTACAAACCGCTGAACAAGCTTTGATACGGTTTCCTGAAGTTCTTTCTCTGTCAAAGCACATGTAGCTTGTACAGGGAATATCCGATGGCACCAGCTGCGCAACATTCAAATCATAAAGTACTAGTTTCGTCATGAAAACTTTCACATCAATGGATCTGAAAGACAGTGATCAATAGTTCCTAAACAGTCTGATATGCAAGACAAGCCACTCTTTGAGACTATCATCACAACTCTACAAGCAAGCTTACCAAAAAGCATACTCTATAATTATATGACCGTTCACTAACTAAAATTTCACCAGATTAGTTTAAGCATATGAACTACTAAGAAGACATACACTGGTGCCTTGAGAGCTCCAGATTCCATAAACTGGAAGATTCTCGACACAATATCTGTAGTATCCGTAGAGTTTCCAACAGGGAAAGTAAAAAGAAGCAAGCCACTCTTTGTCAGCTTAACCAATGACATGATGGAATTCTGTTCTTCACTAACACTCTCTTTAGCCGACCTGAGATCCTCAACATCTGGATTTTCACCTAAAGAAGGGCACCACAAGTCAATAAAAAAAATAAAAGACAAACCAGTGAATAATGCTCTTCAAAAGTTACCTATTTCCTGCAAGGTGGCCTTCCCTTCGTCTTCTCCTGTCTCTTGTGCACAAACTTTTTGTCTCTTAGATGCATCAGAAGACTTCAAAACTTCAGCTTTCTCCTCACCTGTAGGCAATAACACCTTTCCAAGGATGGACATGACCTCTTTGGTAGCACTCTTCTCCCTTTCTAATAAAACAGTACATAACACCCTAAAGTCACAGTTCATAGGGACACTTTGTACATCTCAATGCAACACAGATTCAATAAGCTCACAACACAGAAGAGAGGAAAACAATCATACTGATGCCACAGGTGACGAGGAAGCCGGAATGAGAATGATGAAGCAGAGAAGAGGGAGCTGTGTAATCGAACCGAGGGATGCTTATGATGCTCGCGTGTTGCTCCCATGGCGTCAATCTTTCAGCTTCCTCTTCTCTTTCTCGCTTTTCACCAACAGGCTCCTCCTCAATTGCTTTTCCAACATCCTTTACTACTTCTTCTGCAGTAGCAGCCATTGTTTACTCTCTATAGAACGATTTAATTACCCACTTCTCTCTATTCTCCCCTGTTTCGTTGTGTGTTTGGTCTGAAGAAACTCAAAGTCTTGACCTTTAGCAGATTTTTGATAGCTCTGCTGAAAACGCAACGTTGAAGACAACGCAACGTTATAAACAGCTAAAAGCCTAAAACCCTAAACACTGTTAACTAACTTTCGTTAAGTTCGATTAAGCGGTTTGGGAAAGTGCGATTGCGTTTCAAACTCTTTTAAAACCTTGAAACGCGGCTTTTCATTCAGACAACGCAGCTAAAACCCCTGAGGTCCGAATCGAATCTACTCAAAGAGTCTGTGTCTCTGTGAGAGGAGAAGAGAGATGCAAGTACTTGCGAGGAATCTAGTTCAGAGAGTCTCAAGAAGCCAGGTATGCTCTCAATTCATGCTCTCTTTGTTAGTTCGCGTGTGGAGATTCATCTTCTGAACCATAAAGTCTCATCCTTTGAATGAAAGTAATTGACTTTTTTTATAAATTTACATAAAGCCTGAGACTTTGTTTCATCTCTGTGTGCTCTGTTCATTTATCTACACTACACAATTGCTTTAGGCTAAGAGACATTTTGTTTATCAAAATGATGTTTCAGGTCATTAGTCGTTATGCATATTCAACTCAACGTGTCAGAGACATTGGTCAGCCAACTCCATCATCTCATCCTCATGTATGACTATCTTTTCCCCTATTTTGCAAAATGCTTTTATAATGCTCTCTGATGGTTCCCTCTTTGGTATCAGTTAATGGCTGAAGGAGAGGTTACACCAGGAATAAGAATAGAGGAATACATTGGACGAAGGAAGAAACTTGCGGAGCTTCTTCCTCAGAACAGCTTAGCCATCATTTCCTCAGCCCCTGTGAAGATGATGACAGACGTTGTTCCATATACGTTTAGACAAGAGGCTGATTATTTGTATCTAACTGGTTGCCAGCAACCAGGTGGTGTAGCTGTTTTAAGTGATGAACATGGTTTATGCATGTTCATGCCAGAATCAACTCCTAATGTATGGTTAATTATCTGTTTGAGTACATGAATTTTCGTTATACAGAGTAATTATGGTGATAGATACGTTATTGGTTTGTGGTTTTAGGACATTGCTTGGCAAGGAGAAGTAGCTGGAGTCGATGCAGCTTCTGATGTTTTCAAGGCAGAACAAGCATATCCTATAAGCAAATTACCAGAGGTAACTTATGTAGTTAAGTGGCAGCTCTTGTAAAATGTTTATTGTTTTATTTATTATGTTCTTGAATGTACAGATTCTTTCAGACATGATAAGAGGTTCTTCAAAAGTGTTTCACAATGATCAAACGGCTTCGCAAAGATACACAAACTTGGATGAGTTTAAAAAATCAGCGTCTCTTGGCAAAGTGAAGTCTCTTTCAAGTTTTACCCATGAGCTGAGGTTAATTAAATCACCTGCTGAGCTCAAATTGATGAGAGAGTCTGCATCTATTGCCTGCCAGGTACTTCCTATATGACCCAAAAAGCCATCACTGCTTAAAGTTGTAACTTATGCAGACAACTGTGTGTATACACTTGAGACAATAGCTTTTACAGTCAGTGAGTTTATGTGGTGATTTGGATCTTTTAATTCTCAGGGTCTTCTGAAAACAATGCTACATTCAAAAGGGTATCCTGATGAAGGCATCTTGTCAGCCAAAGTTGAGTATGAGTGTCGGATAAGAGGTGCTCAGCGAATGGCGTAAGTCTCAACATGTCTTATCTACTCCATATGTGATTACTTATTCTTATTTTCCTAATGAGAAGAATATTTTTCATTTTCTTTGATTCCTTAGATTCAATCCTGTAGTTGGTGGCGGTTCTAATGCCAGTGTTATCCACTATTCACGAAATGATCAGCGAGTAAGTTTGATGAAATTCTACTCAATTTACTAATATAGAGATGTGTTCTTGAAGCCAACATCTTTAAAACACATCTACAGATAAAGGATGGTGATCTTGTTTTGTTGGACATGGGTTGTGAGTTACATGGTTATGTTAGTGATCTTACTCGGACATGGCCACCCTGCGGAAAATTCAGTTCTCTTCAGGTTTTCATTTGTCCTCTATCCTCAAAGATTATTATGTTTTTAACTGAAGACCAAAACATTGATACTTGTGTTTTTTTACAGGAAGAGATATATGATCTTATACTTGAGACAAACAAAGAGTCCATAAAGCTATGCAAGCCTGGTACAACCATCCGTCAACTAAACACATATTCGGTATATATAAACTTATCTTCATCTGTTCTGTGTCTTTGGGCGTGAGATGTATGAACACACTGTTCATTATATACGGTTTTGCCAGGACCTGAAATATATTCTCTTGTGTGAACTCAGATGATGCTTTGTGATTGTGCAGACGGATATGTTGTGCAATGGACTGATGAAGATGGGCATCTTGAAGAATCGTAGACTTTATCACCAGTTGAATCCAACGTCCATAGGTATGCATTGGTTGATGAAACTAATACATCCTTGTTTAATTGTCTGACATTGTGCTGTATAAACATTATAATGTAACCAAAAAAAACAAAATGTTATCTAACAAAGTTCTCTTTTGATGGATAAAAAAAGGTCACTACCTAGGGATGGATGTGCATGATTCTTCTTCTGTGGGATATGACCGTCCTTTGCAACCCGGTTGTGTAAGTAAAGCTAAACTCTTCCGATTCTTGTTCTGTAAGATTTCTATAACAGAATCTCAATGTCTATGGTTGTTTGGACAGGTGATCACGATTGAGCCAGGAGTCTACATTCCATCTTCATTCAACTGCCCTGAAAGGTATAACGTTACTCTCTTCAAACTCTACGCACCAATTTCATGTTAAAAGTCATGATTTGTAGGACTATTTCCGTTCAAGAAGTATGTTTATGTGAAACTTTTTTGATAAATTTGCAGATTCCAAGGGATTGGGATAAGGATTGAGGATGAAGTTCTGATCACTGAGACAGGCTACGAGGTGCTAACAGGGTCAATGCCTAAGGAGATCAAACATATAGAGACATTATTGAATAATCACTGCCATGAAGTCGCCAGTTTCTCTTCAGTTTAAAGGTTACAGTGGAGCTGTTGCTCGAAACAATATATTTGTGATGTTATGCATACTGATTATATTTGAAATAATAAGAAGGAAGATTTGATTGGACCAAGGTTATAGTGAAACAGTACCAAGACATCAAGTTTCAAGGTGACAAATCACAATCAATAAGTTAGAAGTTGGAGCTCTTGTAGTTATGTGAAGTTAAGTACTTGTTTGGATTCTAAAAATCACAATAATACAATATGATCCTGATAAGTCAAGGAAATAGATGTTTATTCAATTCGATTTATACCAAAAAATAATAATTGAGGAGGACACGACGGTTACTGGTTAGCAGGTGAGGAGAGTGTAAGGGGCCATGCATGCACCATCTATCATATACTAACAAGTAACAACAATAATTGTTCATCATTATTGTGTGAGGATGATTGCTGTAGTCACTCATAGACCTGCTCAACCATGCCCATTAATGCTTTTCTACATGCACCGCATACCACACAACCTATATATATATCACAAAGGTTAAGTCATCTCTCAACACAAACACACAACTTCAATACAGAAATGGGTTTGGTCACAGAGGAAGTGAGAGCTAAGGCAGAGAAGTACACTGGAGATGAGATATGCCGAGAGAAGACAAAAGTCTTCCTCAAAGAAATATCTATGCCTAATGGTTTACTACCGTTGAAGGACATTGAAGAGGTTGGGTATGACAGAGAGTCAGGTGTTGTCTGGCTGAAGCAGAAACAGAGCATCACCCACAAGTTCGAAAAGATTGATAAGCTTGTCTCCTACGGAACCGAGGTCACTGCTGTGGTTCAGACAGGTAAGATCAAGAAGCTCACTGGAGTCAAGGCCAAGGAGCTTCTTATCTGGGTCAGTATCAGTGAGATATACACAGAAGAGAAAGAGAAGATCACGTTTAAGTCACCAACCACACTGTCCAGGACTTTCCCTGTCTCAGCTTTTATAGTCCCGGAAGAAGTGGAACCTGCCAAGGAAGAACCTGTCAAGGAGAAGAGTAGTGAAGCCACCGAGGCCAAGGGGGTTGTTGCAGTCAAGGAGGTCTAGTCAAGCTTCTCATTGCTTCTACAGTTAAAAAGAGACCAAAATATTTTGAAGTGTACTTCAACAATGTAAACAGACTATTGAGAGTTAGTGTTTCTCACTGCTCTTACTCTCATGTATTACCTACCACTCGTTTCTACTTGTTTTACATGTAATAAGATGTCAACATCATCCTGTTAGACAAAAAATACCGTAATTATCTATAATCTACATTGAAGTTGGTTCGGTATGTGACTTCAAGAACACTGGAAACATATTAGCAAGCTAAAGTGAAAGCTACATCGAGATCTTTTCAAAATGTTTTACAACCTCAAAATGTTTCTTGAACAGGGTATAAGTCGAAAATAAAAATACATGTAAGAAGACATAACATAATAAATCTCTTTCTTAATCTCTTACAAACTAGTATATTGAGAAAACGAATCAGTCAAAAAACAGGGTCTTTGCTTATGGCAAATCTTCTTTGTACACTGCCTCTGCCCTCAACAAATCTTTTCTTCTTTTCAGACAAGGGTGAAGGCAGATTGTACCGTGGACTGGAACCGTGATGCGATTGTCTGTGAGGCAAACTGCTGAAATTGTTTCTTTGCATCTGGCAATAAAAAAATGTGAAGACCGGTTAAGAACCTAATGATCTATATAGCCGAGTTGGTTCTTAACAAAATCAGGGCTATAGTGGAATGGATCTTACCTTTCTTGCACTTTGTGAAGCCGATGATATTAGCCACGTTGAGGGACAAGCACACGCCGACAACAAGTAGATAGTCGGCCTGAAACCTTATCAGTGAAAATATCCCAAGGACTAACCACGCAGCTGCCTGAAGAAAGGACAAAACAAAAAACAAGATTCAGCTCTGGTAAAAGACAGCATAAATATATTCACGAGTTTGTAATTGCTAACTCTAGACACTAAACCCATTGCTACCATCTCATGTCTCATTCTCACTCTCTATAGGTCGCTTGTAATGCAACTGAGCCTATAGGGTTTTAAGCTACCAAGTATTAGTCAATCTGATAATGCAGGATCATAGGATACACTAATGCAACTTCAACATGCACAATAACAATGGCTAACTTTTAATCTACCAGATTACTTTCTCCCTAATCTGCCTATTCTGCAATGTGTCTGCGTGTGATTTGACTTCAATCTCAGATGCTACTATCCCACTCTGATGAATTCAGTTGAGCTACTACTTGAAACATTTGAGGTCACGTTCATTATTGCCAGTTCTTACTCCTAATGCTCCACTAAAGTTTCAGGTGCATTGCAAACAGTTTTAAGTGATAACCATACGCTACAAAATGTAGTCGCAGATAGAAACTACTCACTGCAAGGTAAAGCGTCCACCAAAAAAGCCATGAGTCTTTCTTGTTCATCCGAGCCAAGGACTGATACACACACAAACGAAGTAAAAAATTCGAGAAAGGTAAAAAACTAGTAAGAATCATTTGCTTAATGAAAAAAGTAAAAACGAGAGTGTACTAACCTCCTGGTCAAGAGACTCAAACTTCCACACACTTTCACCCAAGTCATTGATCTCGTTCCACCACCTAAGACCAACAAGTATACGCCCACTCACATTCTTAACCACCCAGAAGTCAAGTGCCGCAAGAAGAACAGTCACCACAAAGATTATAACAAAGCTGTTGAAGAAGAGAGCCGAGAGAATGTAAAACGCCAACGCAGCACCCTGTCCACCCCAAAAACAAACTTGTTACCATTGTCTTTTACACACTTACTTATACAAAAAACGTATAAAGACTCAATTCCTCAGGCTCATACCTTGAAGAGAACATGGAAGAGACACGTCTTCGGGTTGGCATAGTTCTCAACTGGTGCCTGCATTGAGATGAATAAATTCAACAGCGATAATAATCAAAGCTGAGACTAATCTCGTTACGCATTGTCACGATTAAAACGATTCGTAACCTAATCTTAATCTAGCTCAAGGCTTCCCACTTGTAATGTCTATACACACATTCACCTAAATTTCTCGAACACAGATAAACGCAATAACTTCCAGATCGAACAGCTAATCGAGGTTAATCAACAATCTGATAAGCAGTCGAGCTCAGAAATTAAACATTCACCTGGTTAGGATCCATCTTTCCAAGTATCCAAATGTATCCAAACCCGACGCCGATCAGCAGAATATACGGATCTTCTTCCCTCCCAATTTTCCGAGAAAATCTTCCAAACTCTGGTGTGTTTCTTCTGCGTTATAGTTCTAAATCAGCCCATAGGCCCAAGTAAGGGTCCTATTTGGCCCAATATAAAAGGTTAGGTTGAAGTTGACCAAGAACATCTCCAAAAAACCATCTTATTTTCAAGTTTGGGAAAACCTTAAAACCAAAATTTTCAAGTTATTTGTTAAAAAATTAAGAAATCTAACGATTAATAATCCTTAACAAATTCTATTATATTGTTACATTAACTATCACTAAAATAGACATAAACATAGAGTCAACTAATGATATAGATCTTATAGATAGATAGATATATTATCAATTTTTATAACCAAAAATAAGATTCCTAAACCATATCAAAATAATCACATACTTAACGATTAAAATTTTCTCCATTTCAATAAAATAATAGTAATAATATCAAATACTATGTATTTATCAATCGTAGATATTTAGTTTTTTTTTATGTAAGAAAGAAATCAGATTTCTTAATGAAAATCCTTTAACAAAAAGAAAAAAAACAATCGGATTTCTAACCTATACAAGTTATACATGTAGCAAAGTATATCTTACAATCTAAAATGAAAACTGAATGAATGATTATTTTATTATGTATTGTATATTAATATATATATATATAAAATAAAAAAATACTATATTATATTTATTATAAATTTTGAAATCTATCAATTTAATAAAATATTCTATACGGAATTATATCCAGCATATTATTATTATTATTATTATTATTATTATTATTATTATTATTATTATTATTATTATTTGTGATCTCAAAACTATAAATATACTTTTTATTTTTTTTTAAGACAAACCATTATATGATTTCTAAATGTTCTTAAAATATTAGACTTATTCCAATTCACATTAACATAACAAATTATCATGATTATAGGTCTAAAACTCTTGTATTTTTTCCAGTCCATAAAGATGTAAATGCTAGAAAAGACCGAGAAATTCAGTAATAATGGTTCAAGTAAACTAACATCAGTAATAATATAAGTTCAAATATATGAGTTAAAGCCAGTTAAAAAAAAGAAATAACAAAAATATGGTTTCCTAGACCATATACAAAAATCTATATCTATATATATATATATATAATATTTTAATATTTAAAATTTATCCATTTCAAGAAAATAATAATATCTATATATCAAGAAAGCATATTTGAGAAAAAGAAAATTTTATTCAAATAATAATTTATTTATCATAGATATTTTTGTTTATGTAAGAAAGAAAGTGATTTCTTAAACTATATCAATTATACATGTAACAATGTATATCTTATAATCTAAAATGAAAAAATGAAATTAATGATCATTTGTTGTTATGTATTAAGAAAATGGATATAAAATAATAATATTTTACCATATTATATTTTATCACAGATTTTGTAAACTCTCAAATTAATTTTATATAATATTCTATATAGCTTTTAGCACATATATTATATATATATATAGTTTAGTTCACAATTTAATCTTATTTATACCTATTAATTTTTGCTACATGCAAAAGATAACTATCTTAATTTGAGCAACTAAAAAAAATCATTATATTAGTGCCAAATGTATCAATTATATTAATTGGTAACTAAATAAACTTGATGAGAGTAATATTTCTTTCTTTTTCATAGCCTTTCTTATTTATGTAGGAATTAGTTGATTTTGTATTCATTGGGAAATGCAAATCGTTAGATATAACCCCTTTATATATAGGCTTATATAAGCTAGGTAAAACCTATTATTTTGGTCATAACGATTTCATTGTGTTGCTTGCTACGTCGAATCCTTGTTCCTTGGGGTTTCTTCGTGAAAATGCCAGAAGCCAAAACTGAAGAGAAAGATTGTGAAGACAGGATCAGTACTTTGCCCCAAGAGTTGCTTGTGACGATTTTGTTGCGTCTCCCGATTAAAGATGCAGTAACCACCATGATTTTGTCCAAAAGATGGCGCTATATATGGATGATGTTGCCTAGACTTGATTACAATGAAACCAATGCTGTCAACCATGATAAGAGTATTTTTTTTTGATGATGGTGATGATGATGATGATCTTGAGAGCAAGAAGAGCATTTGGTGGTTTTTTGACAAGTCACTGAAACTTCACAATGCACCAGTCTTAGAAGTATTGCTTATTAGTCTTGGTCCACGATGTCCTAGTGATGCTAATATTGGAAATTGGGTTGCAAAGGCTGTTGAACGCGGTGTGGTCGTGGTAAATTTCAATCTTCGCTGGTCAGCAGGTCCAGCCAGATTGCCTAAGAGCCTTTACACCTGCGAAACACTCAAAGAACTGACTCTATCTAACAAAGTTCTTGTGGATTTTCCTTCTTCTTCCTGCCTCCCATCACTCAACAGACTTCAACTTTTCAGTGTGGTATATAAAGAGGAGGCTTCTCTCGCTAGGTTCTTATCTAGTTGCCCTGTCCTTGGAATATTGATCATGAAAAGAAAGAAGAGTGACAATTTGACAAACTTAATCATGAAAGTGCCTTCTTTAAGGATGCTATGGTATCGTAGTACAACATGGATGGAAGATGACACTGATGTAGTGGATAGCGATAGTTGTTTGGTTATAGATACTCCGGCATTAATAAAGTTTGACGTCGCTGATTATTCAAGAAACTCTTGGTCGATCGGGAATATGCCTTGTCTTGAGGAGGCATATATTAGCGCCAGCGATTTATCTATTTTTGACAAGATCATAACAGCTTCATCGGCGATCCTGTCTCTTGACTTGACTTTCGAAGATGAAATGGTAGCTCAGTTTATCTTCATATATATTGATTGTTGTGATTTACATTGTTGCATCTACTTATAAGTTGTTGTTTGTTTTGTCACAGCTTGTGCGTTGCAGCACCCTAAGATTTTCTCGACTTATAAAGTTATCTCTAGATCCAAATAGATCAGACTGGTTGGAACCACTCTTACTTTTACTTAAAAATACTCCAAAACTTGAACAACTTTTGGTAAATTATGTACGTACCCTTCTTTTCTTCAAGCTATGATGGAAGTTATAATACTAGTAACTTTTTTTTTTTTATATAATATATGGTTAACCATTGCTTCTCAGGAATTTATCTATAAACTCGAGGATATCCCACTTTCATGGAATCAACCAAGTTCTATTCCTGGATGCTTGTCGTCACGTCTAAAAATATTTGAATGGAGATACTATGGACACAGAGAAGAAGAGGAAGAATTCTTGACATACATCCTAGCCAATTCTACGTGTTTAAAGACTGCAAAAATCTCCATCAAACCCATGTTAGATCTTGAAGAGCAAGATTTCGTCATCAAAATGTTGAAAGATATTCCTAGGGTTTCAACATCATCTCAACTTTTGGTCAATTGAAAATTTAATTCGAGCTGTTATCATATGTTTAGCCATAAAACGAACCTCTAAATATAAATGTGAACAACTTGCTATTGCTTTATAAACAAAATGTATGCTTTTAACAACTTGTGAGATTAGTCCTTAAGTTTCGTTCTCGAGCAAAGGGTAATCAGTATAACCCGCGACGATGAACGTTCCTTCAAACGCCTTCCCCATCGGCGTAAGCGACTCAGTGCATTCGAAAACCTCACTAGCTGTTTTCATCCTCGGCACAACCATGTGGCAGTAGGGTGTTTTGAATTTATTCAGAGACTTCGCCATGCAAACACCTAACTCTTACGTGGTCAGATCGGTCATAACTATCGGTGTTTGAGTGTCTTTATGGGATAATTTATTTTTTTATCTTTTTATGGTGTCACAGAGATGATGTTTAAAACATTTGTGTAAAAAACTTTGATTGATAAGTGGAAATCATGGGAGACGGTTTCCATCAACAGCCTATTGATTCAAAACTAGAAACTTGTGATCAAATTATTTGTGCTAAATTTTTTTAAAATTTAAAAATTATAACAGTTAATAAACATTACTTCCTCCATTACGAATGTCAATTTATGTTATTCCACACGGATTAAGTAAAAAATTAATTTTGCATGTTTTTTATATCAAAACACAATTACCTATACAAATAATCATATTTCAACCAATAGAAAAATAAATTATATAATAAAACTAATAAATTTTGCATTGTAAACCGAAAACGACACTTATTTTGTAACTAAAAAAATTATCTATTGTGACACTTAATATGAAACAAAAGGAGTATTATATTTTAATATTAAATATCACTAAAATAAAAATAAACATAGAGTTAAATTATGGTGCAAAATCAAAGAAGAAAAAAATTATAAATTTTGGAAATATCAATTTTGTTAAAATAAAATCTTTTTATTGATAGGATTTTTGACTATCAAAAAGTTATAATGGTTCAATTAAATTGACCTGGGTAATATATAAGTTCAAAAATATGAATAATTACCAATCATTTTTGCTTTAAACTAATATTTCACTGTTTAGAATTTTATTAAAACTGTCTTCGATTTTCTCGATTCTAATAAAATAATAATGTTTCTATTTAAAACAAAGAGATCTTAGAAGTATAAATTAAAAAAAAAATATCTCTTTATAAATATCTTATGCAATTATAAGATATATATAATAACATATACGTACTAATTGAAAAATTTTCCATTTAAATAAAATAAAAATATTACCAAATATGTATTTATTTATCATAGATATTTATTTTTATGTAAGAAAGAAATCCGATTACTTAATGAAAATCCTTTAGCAAATAAAAAAAGAAATCTGATTTCTTAAATATCAATTATACATTTATATGTATATCTTATAATTTAAAATTCAAACTGATTTAGTGATTATTTTTATTATGTCTATTATACTAATATATTGATAATAATAATAAAATACTATATTATATTTATCATAAATTTTAAAATCTATCAAATTGAATATAATAAAATATTCTGTAGAAATTTATATCCACAAGATTGTAACTAGTTTTATGTGATCTCAAAACTATAAACATGCTTTTTATTTTTCAATGAAAAAAAAAATTATATGATTTTTAAATGTTCTTACAATATTAGATTATTGTTTTAAACTCTTGTATTTGTTCCAGCACATAAAGACGTAAAGGCTAGTAAAGACAGAGAAATTCAGTAATAATGGTTCAATTAAATTAACATCAGGAATAATATAAGTTCAAAAAAATATGAATAATAGCCAATAAAAGATAACAAAGATATGGTTTTCCTAAACCATATAAATATATATATATATATATATATATATATATATATATATATATATATCATTTGTTATGTATTTTTATATAAGAATATGGATATAAAATAATAATGTTTTACCATATTATATTTTTATCACAGATTTGGTAAACTCTCAGATTAAGTTCATAAAATACTCTATGTTAATTTATATTAACAAGATTTTATATAAGAATATGGATGTAAAATAAATATATATAATATATATTAAAATTGAAAAGTTTTCCATTTCAATAAAATAATAATAATTTATATCAAGAAAGCATATTTTAGAAAAATATTTTTTATTCAATAATTATTTATTTATCATAGATATTTTTTCTTTACGTAAAAGAGAAAGTGATTTCTTAAACTATATCAATCATACATGTAACAATGTATATCTTATAATCTAAAATGAAATTAATGATTAAATTTTGTTATGTATTTTTATATAGTAATATGGTTATAAAATACTAATCTTTTACCATATTATATTTTATCACAGATTTTCTAAACTCTCAAATTAATTTTATAGAATATTATATATATATTTTAGCATATATTTTTTTTTGTTAAAAGGCTTAATATATGATAGCTGCGTGGTTTGAACCCACAATCTTGCATACTTAATTAGACACCTTATACCACTTGGCTAAAGTGTATTTCATTAGCATATATATATATAGACAGTACTTTAGTTCACAATTTAATCTTATATATACCTATTAATTTTTGCTACATGCAAAAGATAATTATCTTAATTTGAGCAAAAAAATATCATTATATTAGTGCAAAATGTATCAATTATATTAATTGGTAACTAAATAAACTTGATGAGAGTAATATTTCTTTCTTTTTCATCGCCTTTATTGCTTTCTTATTTGTGTAGGAATTAGTTGATTTTGTATTCATTGGGAAATGCAAATCGTTAGATACAACCCCTTTATATATAGGCTTATATAAGCCAGGTAAAACCTATTATTTTGGACATAACGATTTCATTGTGTTGCTGCTACGTCGAATCCTTGTTCCTTGGGATTTCTTCGTGAAAATGTCAGAAGCCAAAACTAAAGAGATAGATTGTGAAGACAGGATCAGTGCTTTGCCCGAAGAGTTGCTTGTGACGATTTTGTTGCTTATCCCAATTAAAAATGCTGTAGCCACAATGATTTTGTCCAAAAGATGGCGCTATATATGGATGATGTTGCCTAGACTTGATTACAATGAAACCAATGATGTCAACCATTATTATTGGGGTGGTTATGATGATGATGATGACGATGATCTTGATCAGAGCAAGAGCATTTGGTGTTTTTTGGAGAAGTCACTGAAACTTCACAAAGCACCTGTCTTAGCAATATTGCATATTAGTCTTGGTAGAAGATGTCCTACTGATGCTAATGTTGGAAATTGGGTTGCAAAGGCTGTTGATCGCGGCGTGATCGTGGTAAAATTCAAGCTTCACTGGTCAGCAGGTCCAACCACATTGCCTAAGAGCCTTTACACCTGCAAAACACTCAAAGAATTGACTCTATCTAACAAAGTTCTTGTGGATTTACCTTCTTCTTCCCCTTCCTGCCTCCCATCACTCGAAATACTTCAACTTTCCTGTGTGGTTTATAAAGACGAGGATTCTTTCACTAGGTTCTTATCTAGTTGCCCTGTCCTTGGAATATTGATTGTGNATTGCCTAAGAGCCTTTACACCTGCAAAACACTCAAAGAATTGACTCTATCTAACAAAGTTCTTGTGGATTTACCTTCTTCTTCCCCTTCCTGCCTCCCATCACTCGAAATACTTCAACTTTCCTGTGTGGTTTATAAAGACGAGGATTCTTTCACTAGGTTCTTATCTAGTTGCCCTGTCCTTGGAATATTGATTGTGGATAGAAAGAAGAGTGACAATCTGACAAACTTTATTGTGAAAGTGCCTTCTTTAAGGATGCTATGGTATTATGATTCAACATGGCTGGAAGATGACACTGATGTAGTGGATAGCGGTAGTTGTTTGGTTATAGATACTCCGGCATTAATAAAGTTTGACGTCACTGATTATTCAAGACACTCTTGGTCGATCGGGAATATGCCTTGTCTTGAGGAGGCACATATTAATGTCGAGCCTTTATCTATTTTTGACGAGATCATAACAGCTTGTTCGGCGATTTTGTCTCTTCACTTGACTTTTACCGATGAAATGGTAGCTCTCTCTTTATCTATGTGTTGAGTGTTTGTTTTGATTTACATTGTTGCATCTACTTATACGTTGTTGTTTGTTTTGTCGCAGCTTGTGCGTTGTAGCACCCTAAGATTTTCTCGACTTATAAAGTTATATGTAGATTCACGTACATTATACTGGGTGGGATCACTCTTACTTTTACTTGAAAATACTCCAAAACTTGAACAGCTTTTCGTAAATAATGTACGTACCCCCTCCTTTTCTTCAAGCTTTGATAAATAGCAATAACTTTTTTTTAATATACGGCCATGCACCATTGCTTCTCAGGAATATATCTATGAACTCGAGGATATCCCACTTTCATGGAATCAACCAAGTTCTATTCCTAGATGCTTGTTGTCACATCTAAAAATATTTGAATGGAGATACTATGGATTCAGAAAAGAAGAGAAACAATTCTTGACATACATCCTAGCCAGTTCTAAGTGTTTAAAGACTGCGACAATCTCTCTTGCACCCATGTTAAGTCCAGAAGAGCAAGATTTCGTCATCAAAATGTTGAAAGATATTCCTAGGGTTTCAACATCATCTCAACTTTTGGTCTATTGAAAATTTATTTCGAGTTATCCATATAATGAAGCTGATTTTTTTTTTTTTGAAACACAATGAAGCTGAGTTAATGTGCAAGCTTCGCCATAAAATGAAGCTCTAAATATGTGAACAACTTGCTATTGCTATAATGTAAACAAATTGTTTGCTTTTAACAACTTCTAAGATTATTACAGCATAACAAGCTAATATAAACTCTGTTTCTGTTATTAATCTCAAAGTCTTCTTCTAGCAATCTCGATAGAACTGAACCTTATCTGGGCCATCAGCTAATGGGTTGATCGGGCCACTGTCTGGGCCGGATTAATGGGTTAGGGTGTGGGTCGGCTCTGATACAATGATAAGCTAATATAAACTCTGTTTCTGTTATTAATCTCAAAGTCAATACATAGGTATTTGTACATAACATAGGAACCGTAATAATAGGAGATAAGCATGACAACCCATAGCTTTATGAATATCTAAATATATGTTCATATTTATCTATTACAGCAACTGAAAAAATAGAAAGTACACAAAGAAACAAGACCTTAAGGGTCCGTCTCGAGAAAAGGGTAATCAGTGTAACCCACGACAGGATCAGAAGAAGTATAGAAACTTGTTCTGTCGTACTTATTCAGCTGCGCGTCTGAGTTGAAACCTTCTTGGCAAATCTGGATTCGCCAAGAACAGTCTCCCATACGCCACCGCCTTGTTCCCCTCTTCTCTTGTATAACCTCCAGCGACGATGAACGTTCCTTCAAAAACCTTCCTCATCGGCGTAAGCGACTCAGTGCACTCGAAAACCTCACTGGCTGTTTTCATCCTCGGCTCAACCATGTGGCAATACAGTGTCTTGTATCTATTCAGAGACTTAGCCATGTAGACGCCTAGCTTTTGAGGCTCTGTATCTCCCGACTCCATGTAGTTCGTGAAGGGAGAGAGTCTGACTCCTAGGCGGTCACATCCGATCTTGTTCGTCACAGCTCCGACTACTTTTAGAGCGAATCTGCATCCACCGTAACAATCAGTTCGGTTGTTGATGTAGCGGATGATTCTGAGAATACTCGGAAAATGGAAAATGGAAAAAGGAAAACTATGATAATCACAATGATCTTATTTAGTCTAAAAATTCCTAAAATCAATGTCTTCTTAAATTCGTTGAGATCTGTATAGATCTACCGAGAACAAGAAACAAAGAGAAAATTCTCAATTTTATTAATCAAATCATAAACTGCATACAATTTGAAAACCATAAAACAGTAAAACAATAAAGATAATTATTTAAATTTAAAATAATTAATAAAATAAATTACTAGATATTTGAAAATATTCCAAATATTTATCTGTATCGTTGGTGAAGATTTGCCCTGGAATCTTGTTATTCTGAAGATATGCTTTCTCAATTGCTTTATTTGATCGTTGATTCCACCCTTGATATATCTTTGAATAATTCATCCTAATGAATATGTCTTCAATGTATTTTTGTAGATCCACCGTGTAGTCACACATCTCTTCATTTGTTAATGCATTGATCAATGAGCAGCCACAAGATTCCCAGCCTTCAAGCACAGTGTACTCCCATTGTTTTCTTTCAATGTTCCACTTTTGATAGAACCCATGAAATCTCTCACGTAAGCATGCATGGTTTTGAACGCATCCTTTTTGAATACAAAATCGATTGGCTCGACAAGCATCATGTCTTCACCATATGTATCAAAATAGCAGGACCAATAATTGTTTTGTACTGTCCGTAAAAGTCTTTGGTCGAACTAAATGGATATATTCATCACTGTAATAATAACAACCGAGCGACATAGTAATGGAGGCTAGAGAATCAAACCTGGATTAAGAAATCAAAGTGCTAGCTCTGATATTAACTAATGTAGCTCGCGCTACGATAACATAATGAATCTTATTTATTCAGAGAATTCCTAGGATCAAAGTTATCCTTGAGAACACCTATGTTCTAGCCGATTGCAAGGTTCAAGAACACCAAAGCTCTTTAGATTAATAATCAAAATAAAAGTACCCTGAATCATTGAGAACACCTATGTTCTAGCCTATTGCAAGGTTCAAGAACACCAAAGCTCTTTAGATTAATAATCAAAATAAAAGTGCCCTCACAAACCAAGGGTTCGATTGTTTATATAGCTAACTAAAAGGCCTTTTCCTTGTAAGAAAAGGAACTAAATTTGCGATAAGCTTAAAGAAAAAAAGATAACACCAAAAGAAAAAGGAAGAAAAAGCCAACGTAAATTATAACGCTTGGGATCTCGTCGATTCTTAGACGCCTCGGAGGTGTGTACTCGTTGGATGAATCCTCTGCGAGAGGCTTCTCAGTATAAGCGACCGGAGCTTCACCATTTGGCTGAGAATCTAGTACAAATATCAGCTTCTTAGCACACACGTAACAAAATTTCACAATTTGCCTAACAGAGTTTGTGTTTTCTTTCTTGCATCATCATTTGGCGTAGAATCTAAATATCAGTTGCTTAGCTCACATGTAACAAGATTTCACAATTTCAAACCCTAAAAGAGACCTAACAGAGTTTGTTTTTCTTTCTTGCTTCACCATTTGGCTTTGAATCTAGTATAAATATAAATTCCTTAGGAGGCACCTAAAGATCTAACACTTTCAAACGCTAAAAAACAAAGTTTTTATTCTTTCTTTCTTGGTTCAGCATCTGCCTGAGAATCTGGTACATATATCAATTCCTTAGAACACACGTAATAAGAGCTAACACTTTCAAACCCTAAAAAAACAAAGTGTTTATTTTTGTTTTTTTACTTGCTGAGTTGCTTCACCATTTGTCTGAGTACTTTTTGCTATATAGTTACTACTACTTAGTACTTAGGTAGTCATAAGATCGTTATAACCATAAAAATCAACATTCAATGATTCTCTTCATCTAGCCTGTATTAAGCTTATCTACTAAAAAAGCTTCTAATTAGCATAAACCAAATAATAATATATAGGACGAAAATAATCTAACTAATAAAAGATGCTTTACTGAAAAGAATAACTAATGAAAGATATCCCGATGTCATTTAAGAAACTAAGGAGAAATNGTTATAACCATAAAAATCAACATTCAATGATTCTCTTCATCTAGCCTGTATTAAGCTTATCTACTAAAAAAGCTTCTAATTAGCATAAACCAAATAATAATATATAGGACGAAAATAATCTAACTAATAAAAGATGCTTTACTGAAAAGAATAACTAATGAAAGATATCCCGATGTCATTTAAGAAACTAAGGAGAAATCTATACTATTAAAAGAGAAGGAGTCTAAATAAATCTACTTAAAAAAATTGTTTGGACCCTTTCATAGACTAACATTTTTAGTCTTTCCTTATATTTCTCTAACTATATAAATACTTTACAATTTAAATAAACTCATTTATTACTTTCCATAATCTATTATAAAATCTCTCTAACCATAAATATTCATGATATTATAACTATGACACTTTAGTTTAGTTAATTATATGCAATCAATTATTAAATTTTGATATTGCATTCTTATAAAAGAACTAAATGATTAATTTTATGATCTATAAAAATTAAATGGGTCTAGACATTATAAGTTGGAGATTCAAAAGAAATTGGTCAAAAATTATTTTAAAAAGATATGTTTATTTATTTTACATGATATATTTTGATTTAATTTTAAATGTAAACTAACCTACTATTTAAATATCAGATAGGTTAAATACTTTTGATAAAAATATTCAGGTAATTCATTGATTTGTCTAATTTGGTTAAAAATAGTATTTTAGGTTATTTAGTGTTTAGATATTATATATAATTATTATTTTTAGGTATATAATTTATATAAAAAATATTTAAATACCTATTTGGTTTCTCGGTTTGATTTCTATTTTTAGATTCTAGAGATATATGGTATGATCGATTATTTATGAAATTTGGTTGAATTTAACTTTGTTTATTTTATTTTTAATTTAAAAAATTAAGTACCCATTTGTGTATAATCAAAAAATAGAATTCACGCTTCTCAATGGGTTAATAACAATCTTTTGATTTTAAGATCTTTTTACCATATTCATTTTATTAATTTTACAAGACTAAAATAAAATAATAGAACAACAACCCTCTCATTTTATAAATACAAGGTATCTCGAACCCCTTTTACCATCAACTCAATCAAATTTAAAAACACCATCAAAACCAATCAAAATATCTATTCCGAAATATTTGGCTTTACGGTTAACAAAAAAAAACCCGCGCTTCTTAAGCGCGGGTCAAAATCTAGTGCCTTATTAATATCTCTCTTCTTTTTCTTTTCTTTTTTTAAAGAAATAGTAGTTGTTATTGTATCATTTTCAAAATTTAATTATCTTTAAAGAAATACTAGTTATTGGAGGGTTAATTCTAAAGCCGTGTCTAAATAGTTGATGCAATAAATCTGTTTGTGAGATAGAAATGGTGATGAAGAAGAATAAGAAGAATGTCACATCACCAACCAAATGTGGAAGAAGTTAAATGTGAGGTTGGGTGATGCGTTTGTAAGGATCGACTAGATACCTTCTGAAGGAAAGGGAGGAAACAAATATTTTTTTTTGGTAACAGACGGAAACAAATATGGGATATGAGTATACGATTTCTATATTCGATCAGCTGAC